CTCCTCCTTCCCTCCTCCCTTCCTCTCTCCCTCCCTCCTCCTCTCTTCCTCCTTCCCCTCCTCCTTCCTCCTCCTCTCTCCTCCTCTCCTCCTCTCCTCTCCTCTCCTCCTCCTTCTCCTTCCTCCTCCTCCTCCTCCTCCTCCTCCTCCTCCTCCTCCTCCTTCCTCCTCCTCCTCTTCCTCCTCTTCCTCCTCCTCTCCTCCTCCTCTCCTCCCTTCCTCCTCCTCTCCTCCTCCTCCTCCTTCCTCCTCTCCTTCTCCTTTCTCCTTCCTTCTCCTTCCTCCTCCTTCCTTCCTCTCCCTCCCTCCCTCCTCCTCCTCTCCTCCTCCTCTCTCCTCTCCCTCCTCCTCTCCTTCCTCCTCCTCCTCCTCCTCTCTTTCCTTCCTCCTCCTCCTCCTCCTCCTCCTCCTCCTCCTCCTCCTCTCCTCTCTCCTCCTCCTCCTCCTCTTCCCTCCTCCTTCCTCCTTCTTCCTCCCTCTCTCCTTTTTCTTCCCTCCTCTCCTCTTCCTCCTCCTCCTCCCTCCTCCTCCTCCTCCTCCCTCCTCCTCCTCCTCCTCCTCCTCCTCCTCCTCCTCCTCCTCCTCCTCCTCCTCCTCCTCCTCCTCTGGATGTACTGCCTAGATAAACTTATGAAAATATGAGGGAGGGCTAGAAGGGAAAGAAAGGGCTTGAGGGAGCGAGGAGAACATGAAAAGCAAATTTGTGTGTGGAGCCCATTATATTTAGGGGCTGTTATAGCAAGGTTTGTTAGAGTGAGGGTAGGCTGTACAGTTCTGTAATGTGGAAAAAGCTTTCAACTTTTATTCAGCAGTTTTAGTTATTTATGTTATATTTCTATCAGTACATAAGATAATAACTGTAGATTTGCTTTCATTATCTTGATAAATAATTTCATTACTTTGCAGTTGTAATAATACCAAACATCTTTTATTAGATTTTTCATGATATATTCTTAACTTATTTTTAAAAATTTCTAATGGTTTGCATCTTTTAATGCATAGAGAGCAATGCAACACCGGACATCCTGAACAATGAGATGCGCAGTGTTGACTTGGCAGAAAAGGAATGCTTCAAACTTATCAATGAACAGGAGCAGCTGCAGGTAGGGATGATATGTTCATCTAAGTAGGTCTTTGAACTGTTGCTTCATTATATTTTGTAAAATGCCTTGCGGATTAGCTAAATTCATTTATGCTCTTATTCATTTCTTCTGAAAAGTACCTGTGTTTGCTCTACACACTTACACATTCTCAGGTCAAGGATGCAGATGACCTGCTCAAGAAAATGGGCTGTCAGAACCAGTCGGACCTCCAGGTCAAGGTGATCTCCATCTTTGGTAACACTGGGGAAGGGAAATCTCACACCCTAAATCAGATCTTCTTTCGAGGAGCAGAAGTATTTCCGTAAGTAGATTGTGTCTTAAGCTTCGTTTTTATTTTGTATCTATTTTTTCAAAGTACAAAGATAAAGAATATTTTCAGCACAGTTAGCTTAGGGAAAGTCTGTATTTTATGAGTTTAAGACATCATAACCATGCAAAAATTGCATTTATAGATAGGAGAGTCATTTACTACTTTTTATTTCCACCAGAACTAGTTCGAATCAGGCATCATGCACTCTTGGTGTGTGGGGAGCATTCGACCCCAACACCAAGGCCTTAGTCCTGGACACCGAAGGAATGCTTGGAATTAGTAGCAGTGCTAAACAACGCAAACGCTTGTTGTTAAAGGTTAGACCTTGGTCTTTTTTTTGTATTATCTTTATTTGTCTTATCCTTTGATGATGATATTGATAGTTCTAGAGTTTTGGAAATGTTTCATAAGTTTGGAAGAATAATAATTCATTAGTGTATGCATAGCAGTTTTAACTATTTTTTTTTTTTTTAGGTGCTAGCAGTCTCCGACGTTATCATTTACCGAACTCGGTCGGAGCGGCTCAATACTGACATGTACAAATTTTTGGCAGAAGCATCACGAGCCTACACAAAGTAAGAATAAAGCACATATTCCTTTCTATTTTTAACCATTTTGATGAAAAATTTCAAGCTTTTCTTTCATATCAAGGCAGTATGTATATGGATATATATGTATTTATATGTAAATATATGTATATATATGTGTATAGATGTGTATATATACATATATACATGTAAGTATATCATATACATATATAGTCTATAATGTTATATAATTATATATATACATATATATATGTACATATATATCTATACATATGTATACATATATAAATATACACATACATATATACAAATATATATATATATATATATATATATATATATATATATATAATATATATATATATATATATATATACATACATATACATATATATACATATATACATTATATATTATATACATATATATATATATATTATATATTATTATATTATATATATATTATATTATATATATATATATATATTATATTATACATATATATTATATATATATATATATCATTATATATATATATATATATATATATATATATATATATATATATATATATATATATATAATATATATATATATATATATATATATATATATATATATATACATATATGTACATATATATATAATATATGTACATATATATACATATATATATAATATATATATATATATATATATATATATATATATATATATATATATATATATATATATATATATATATATATATATTATATATATAATATATATAATAATATTATAATATATTAATATATATATATACATTTATATATTATATATATATATATATATATAATATATATATATATATATATATATATATATATATATATATATATATATTTTAGATAAATATTTATTTAGTTTACTAACACACGCATTGCAGATACTTTCGTGATGACCTAGAGGCGGTGGCCCGCAAAGCTGAGTGTGATTGCATTTTTGGTCCTCCAGTTTACATCTTCCATGATACCCGACATACAAGCGTTTTGATGGGAGGTAAGTACGAAGGCCTTTGAAAGCTTGGTATCTTTTTGCATCAAGTTTTGGGGGACTCTCCTAGTTAGAGGGGAAGAAATTGATTTTGTACTATGAAAAAAAGTTTCGTTATTGTTTTTACATATATATATTCTTTGTATTACTGTTGTGCATCTTATGATAAGAAAAATATTGCACGTATAATTATTGATATTCCTAATAATGATGTTTTGTTAGAAGTAATATTTTTTGTTTTTCCCCCTCAAAAAAAAAGAAAAGAAAAGAAAAATTAACAAATTACTCCCAAAAAGATGGAAAAAGGGAAATGATGTGATGCAAGCTTTTTCTTGGGCATTAAATGAGTAAGAAATGGATAATTTTCAGTAGAAGCTTGCAAAATAAGAAAAAGAGCTTTTGTGTACATTTGTTTGTTTTCACAGAAAAGAAAAATTGTGTTCACAAGGAATCTTTAACACTTAGGGCAGTTCCTCTCCTCCCTGTTTGGGTACTGGGAAAAGCTGTTAAAAAAGAGCAATCTTGACAAACATGATATTGATGATGTTGATTAAAAAAACAGAAAGCCTCTATCTAAGATGTGACATGATAAGCTAGCTGATTGTTGAGGTCGTTGTTCATGCCATTTTATTTATGCCACATTACTCCATAGCACAAGAAATTCTTTAGATGTATATGTATTCAAAACCAGTTTCAACTCAGGTTTTTATTCTTCCAGTGCAACTTTCCCCTATGTATGAAGGTCCCCTTTCATGAGTAGAATTTAGAATAAAGTTTTGCAAGGCTGGAGTGCATTTGTACTCACTGCTCTGTGCCAGTCTCGTGACATGAGGTTGGCATTTGTCACTTTTTCCTTGGCTGGCATTTTTTCCATGATGTAATGGAACATCATTTGGTCACTTGATTTGGCTGTTACCTATAAAATGTTCAAATTATTTCACATTTCAGATAAAGGTCAAAAACCAGAAGAACAGCTGAAGGAAAACTTCACAAAGCAGAATTTAAAAATAGATGGGTTCAACAGCCTGCACTACATTGGGGAACGTAACAACGGGAACGAAACGGACTTCAAGAGAATCCAAGAAGCAGTTTTCAATGAGATACGAAACAATGGAGTTCGTTCTCCCAGAAGACCAAAGATTGTGTTAGACATGTTAGAAGTAAGTGAAGTGTTATTGAATTCTACTGGAGTTTTCTGCCTTGGTCAATTTCCCTCCCCTCCCCGTCCCCCTCCCTCTCCCCCTCCCTCTCCCCCTCCTATCCCCCTCCCTATCCCCCCCCTATCCCCTTCCCTCCCCCCTTTCCCCTTCCCCTCCCCGTCCCCTTCCCGTCTTCCCCTTCCCCGTCCCCGTCCCCGTCCCCGTCCCCGTCCCCGTCCCCGTCCCCGTCCCCGTCCCCATCCCCGTCCCCGTCCGTCCCGTTGTCCCCGTCCCCGTCCCCGTCCCACCGTCCCTTCCCCGTCCCCGTCCCTGTCCATGTCCCCGTCCCCGTCCCCATCCCTGCCCCGCCCCCGCCCCCGCCCTGTCTCCGTCTCCGTCTCCGTCCCTGTCCCCGTCCCCGTCCCCCCGTCCCCGTCCCCGTCCCCGTCCCCCATCCCCATCCCCATCCCCATCCCCGTCCCTGTCCCTGTTCCCCTCCCTTCCCTCCCCTCCCCTATTTTTTTTTCCTTGAATTGAGGTTTCTATTTATTTATGATTTATACAACAATTATTGTCAGGTAACTTAGCCTAGAAATGATAAACTCCGTCCCCGTCCCCGTCCATGTCCCCGTCCCCGTCCCCGTCCCCGTCCCTGTCCCGTCCCCGTCCCTCCCCGAGCCCGCCCTGTCTCTGTCTCCGTCCCTGTCCCCATCCCTGTCCCCGCCCCCGCCCCCGCCCCTGTCTCCGTCTCCGTCTCCGTCTCCGTCCCTGTCCCCGTCCCCGTCCCCGTCCCCTCCCCGTCCCGTCCCCGTCCCATCCCCGTCCCTGTCCCTGTCCCCGTCCCCCCTCCCCCCCCCTATTTTCTGTTTTCCTTGAATTTGAGGGTTTCTATTTATTTATGATTTTATACAACAATTATTGTCAGGTAACTTAGCCTAGAAATGATAAACTCTGTCCGCCCCGTCCTGTCCCTGTCCCCGTCCCCGTCCCCGTCCCCGTCCCCGTCCCCGTCCCGTCCCTGCCCCCGACCCCGCCCTGTCTCCGTTCTGTCCCCTCCCCATCCCTGTCCCGTGTCTCCGTCTCCGTCCCTGTCCCCGTCCCCGTCCCCGTCCCGTCCCCGTCCCCGTCCCCGTCCCCGTCCCCGTCCGTCCCCATCCCCATCCCCATCCCCGTCCCTGTCCCGTCCCCGTCCCTTCCCTCCCCCTCCCCTATTTTCTGTTTTCCTTGAATTTAGATTTATTTATTTATGATTTTATACAACAATTATTGTCAGGTAACTTAGCCTAGAAATTATAAACTCAATACAGATATTCTCACTAATACAGTATGAACATCAGAAAATTATGACTGAATGATAGCTGTTGTCATTTATCCGTTGCAGATTACAATTCTCTTAATTATCTTTTCAGACAATAAATAAAAAATTCAGTGGGCATATCCAGAGTACTGAACCAGCATTCCCTGATGAATACTTTACCTGTACAAGTGTGTGCTCTGCCTGCCAGTCTCGCTGCTGTCTCTTCATGAACCATGCAACTCATGACAATGGTTCGAAAGACCATGAAGCTGAGCGGCAGTGCAAGTATCACCATCAGTTTGAAAATAAGGTATTTTAATTACTCCTCCTCGTATCTGTTTAAGAGTAGTCTTTCAAAAAATATGTAAAGGATTTCATTTATTGTGCTGCAACCCTTAGAGGCTGAAGGATCACTAAATGCTAAAAGTGAAGCATCATGTTTCAATAGACTTGAGTAATTGGTATATTTTTTGATTTTCGCAGATATTCTTGTGCAAAAAATGTGATAGTGAGGGTGAAAGACGCATTGTGGTTCCCAAAACATCCTCTGCAAAAGACAATACATGGCTGGGTCTTGCCAAATACGCTTGGTCTGGGTAAAGTATTTCTTTTAGGTTGCATTGACTTGTTTTCCTTCCCATTGTTATATTTTTAATTTTTATCAGCCTAAAGATTTTACTTAAGATATTAGTTATTGCTGTCCTTACCCCATTACCTTATTTTCCCCCCAAAAGATGTATATTGATTTTCTTCTGAAAATTTCTGAACAAACTATGATTTGAGGATTTTAACCAGTAAGACCCACAAAACCTCCAGCTTGTCTTCCCCCCCAGCTGCAGTAAAGGCCTGCTCTCTCAAGTTTCACCAAGGCAAATATTGGATGCTGGCTTTTTTAAGAGCTTAATTTTACACATCAGAAAGTGCATAGATCATTGCTATATATCAATTATGTAGAATATCATTAGAGAAGAGGGTAGAAAAAATTATCAGTTGCCCCATGCATTAGATATATTTAGATGTATAAATAGTAAAAAGACTCCTTTGTGAAGGGCATGACTAGAGCTGTCATGATGCAGTGATATATGACATATACACGTTTTGACTCGCTCTAGTGAGTGAGAAGGTGGGCTGGCTGTACACAGCACACTCCCTTCTGTAAAGGCTAGACCGTTGTTTAATTATTACATCACAGAAAATTCTGGACTCATCGTGATAGGGATACACCAGTAAATAACTGTTACACAATAGTATGGTATATAGAGGGGGAGAGGGAAAGGTGGTGGGATAGCTAGTTGAAATATGCCATACAGTACGGATAATACTGCTTCACTCTTGCTAGTGTCCAGACGCAAAAAGAAAGAGGTGTTAATCATGTTTATATGATCAGAGAGGGGGACCTGCAATAGGAATGGAGTAAGGAATGTTATTCTAGGGGTTGTTGGAGGAAACTTGCCAATCAGTGCCAGTTATATTAGGTGACAAGACGTATGTCTCATTGATAACGAAAAAATGTGTGGGTAAGAAAAACCTACCAGTTTATTGGCAGAGATCTATTAAAGCGAACAAAATCTTATTGTTGTTATCCTTCTCAGGTACGTCCTGGAGTGTGAAAAGTGTGGAATCATCTATCGGAGCCGCCAGTATTGGTATGGAAATGAGTCTCCTGACCGATCTGTTGTGAAGGAAGAATACCAGCATGTGTGGCCAGGGAGTATCATGGGGAGTGCAGCTCATGCAGGTCGGCAGGTATGTTTTCAGAAATGATAAGGTCTAGGTTAGATAGTGGTCTTTGGCTAAGCATGGTTGAAATGAGTGAAGTAATTGGGCATAAGATTGCTTGTTGTGTGAGAGGCATTACAAAGTGTTTGTATGTAGCTATAAGGACTGCATATTTGTGATTCAGGTCATATTATATAAACATAATGACTTTTCACATAAGGTCCTGGAAGGTGTTGCTGCTTTGGGGTCAGCACTGTCTACCATCTCAGCGCCTCCAGCCAAGGTGGTGTCATCTTGGCTCACGGATCAGGTCAACCCAGCTTACTGGACTCCAAATCATCTCTGCACAGTACGTCATGATGGAGGAAGTGTTATTTTTGTTTGTTTTGAATTTTGTTGTACATTGGTATATAATCCTTTAAGTTGAATAAAATGGATATCATTCCAGTGAAAAGGATAACTGCAAGTATCATTGGAAATAAAAGTGTTAGAATGACATGTAATATTAACAAATTGGTTCATGGTGTATGCACCTTCCCCTGTAGGTTTGTTTTCCCTAATTTGTTTATACATAGAAGGCTTAGTCACCACAGAATTCCTTAATAGGCCCTCCTGACCTCACCTCTTTACCCCATTCCTTGATTTTTTTAAAGGTTTTATTTCTGTACTGTTATAGATATTAATGTTATTGACATTATTGTGATTATAACATTATTAACAATATTAATAGTAATACAAAAAACTCATCTTCCAAAATTCAAGGAATAGGGTAAACAGGTGAGATCTGGTAGATCTAGTAGTGGACTTCTAGGTGACTAAGCATTTGTAGTGCCATCTATAGGTTACCAAAATTGATTAACTAAAATAATAATGGACATGACATGTATACATGCTATCCTGGTGTCAGTGAATGTAACCGGTTTCAGCCAAAATGAAATGTTTCCTGAAAACTGAGATTTATTGTTTTCTGCAGCACTGTAAGCTGTGTCATGAACCCCTGACCACCATTCACCACTGCCGTAAGTGTGGTGAGGGATTCTGCGATGCCTGTTCAGATGCTACAATGCCAGTACCAGAAAGGGGCTGGGGAGATGAGCCTGTCAGGGTGTGTAAGAACTGCCTTCAATCCAGAAAAAACCTGGAGGAGCAGGCTGAAGGTATGGTTGTAGTTCATGTTGTATTACCTTTTAGTAATGCTTTATAGGGTGGGGGTATGTGATAGTCTTATCTTTACATTTTATTTTTTTATATATATGTGACAGATGGAAAAGAGACTAGGGTATTACGATACCAATTTGTGCATTTTGAGGTATGACTAGGTTTTCATTCACTGTTGTTTCATTCAGTAGCATTACTGCTTAGAATAATAAACTTTCATAAGGTAACTTTTTAATTAGTAGGGTATATTATAAGTACCCCAAAAAATGGATATTGCTTTTGATTATTTCAAATTTCTTATCCAGATGTGTATGAAATGATATGTAGTTGGTTATTGAGTTTTGTTGACTTAATTTATTTTGGAAATGGACTGAGATTTTGAAGTGCTTCTGTTGATAATACGACTTGCATATTTTATAGCCTTTGTCTGTAATGGTGATGACCGGACTGTTCGTGCTCGCCAAGTTAGTGAAGTCATCTCAGGAACACTGGCATCAGTGGCAAAATATCCCATAGGTAAAGTTATTAGCACTTAATTTCATGTAATTAATTGTAGGATTGATATATACAAGATGTGGTTTATGACATGCACAGCACACACTGGCAGCTTGTTATACTCATAAACAAGATATTGCTAATCTTCTCATATTCTAGAATTCCTGAAAGACACGACACGGCCATCATACTGGATACCAGATGAACTGATAAAGAGTTGTAATGTATGTGGTAAAGCTTTTGGCCCGAGATTGACCCTGCACCACTGCCGGGCATGTGGGCAGGGGGTGTGCGATATGTGCTCCCCCAACCTTAGGCCAGTCAAGGAAAGAGGATGGGATCACCCAGTCAGAGTCTGCAACACCTGCATCAAATAGTGAACAGATCAACGTAACTTTGGTATAATGTATATGTTTTAGGTAAATTATGCCGGCTATTTTTTCAGATTTTAATACTGTCATGGCAAAAACAAATAAACAAACAAACACCCTCAGGAAATACGCATCATTTTTTGGCACATCTTATATGTGCCTGGTTGATTTTTTTTCTTTTTTCTTTTTTTTTTAGGATTTACTGTCAAGAAAGTGACCTTTGGAAATATCATCAATTTTCCTTATTCAATCCAGTGGTTTCTTCAAAATAGATTTAAAGAATTTAGTGCAATAATTATGAAATGCTGTAACAAAAATTTATGAATGGAATTTATATACGTTTTCATGATGTATTATTGATGATATCCATAATGTTGTCAGATGTTTGTGCTTTACAACCTAAAGGCTGTTATCACGTTAGAAAATCTGTGAAGTTTATATTTTCAGTGCAGTTGATACAGTGAGATTATTGTTTGGGTGTATTGATGATTATAATGAGTAACCAGCTTATCAGTACTGCTTTAATTTTGAAACAAATATGAACTTTTGCCAAAAGAAGCTAACTCTGGAGACGCAAGGCTTCTTTGAGTGACAGTTGATAAGAAATTCTTATTATGCGTGTGATTTTTTAAGTATGGCCACACACGCCCCAGTTCATATATCTCCTGCACTGAGTGGAGAGGAAAATATACTAAAGTGATGGGAACAAAACTGGATCTCATAAAAGGAAGGTGTCACAGGCAACTTGGGGGTCTACGAGTGTGGCCACAGATTTGGGATATTGAAGAGAAAGTTGTAGACAATTCTAGTATTATAGTATGTGTTGTGACCTGCAAGATGCACAAGATCCTCAGATACTGGATTCATTTAATGATGCAGGTATTTGTACCAGTGTATGATTGCCTGGTTCCTGTGTTTGTTTTATAATTTTGCAGATAATAGCACTTTTTTTTTCTCTTTTTTTTTTACCCTGCTTTTAAGTTTTGATCAATTTTGTTTCTGGCCATTTATCTACTCTTTATATACTGGAAAGGCTTGAAATGAAATTTGCTGTGTTTAAATATAAAAAAAGAAAAAAATTCCCCTATTATATTATGTGATTGATATAACAATTTATTTTTAAATTTTTGTGTAATACTATTGGTGGTATCACAGAAAAGTTATTGAGCTTTAAATTCAGTGTGAAATTAGACACAATAAGATTTTCTGACAGCTTTTCATGCTGACCAATGAGTTGTGTAACGGAAAAACTTTAATGCCTGATAAAGGAGGTAACAAATTTTTGAAAAATAATATTGCCAGATGGAGTGTCGGTAATACATGCCACCTTTGAAATAAAACTCTTTTTTTGATACATAACATTATGAAGAACGGCTGTTGATAATGTAATAGCCATTTGCTCATTAAAAACTGTCATGGTCTATCATATTTTTCCCATGATTATAATGAATACTTTCATAAC